AAAGACTGACACCGGCATTCCCGTTGACACTTTGGAAGCACTAACTTGAAATGATGTCCCTTGAGGTGGATGTTGGGCCACAAAGTAAGCGGCGATAGAGGCCGATGGTTTGGATTATACAAAATGAACTTTACTCGAATTCGGCGATGTTAAGTAAAATATAGTCCCAACGGTTGTAATCTCTCTTCGTAGGTGAGGCAGTGCAATCCCTTGACCATCTTGGTGACATTCCTTTATGGGCGCTCCAGCATCATCCGATCACGTTGTATCCATGGCCTCCAGGAGTGGATGGCATACTCCGTGTATAGTTGAATTTACATTGATAGCAATCGTGGGAAGAGTGCGGATTCAAACCGATCAAAGAGGTACCCAAGGAAGCAGGCATTCTTCACAGCAGCAGACGAAGCCTTGGCGCAACTAAAGTCCTCTTAAACACTTATATCTAAGTCCTTTTGACAAGGGGTATTTGACAGCTGGCGAGTTCCAGGGAAATGCGAGAACCTACTTCTATGGCTTAGAGATAGGACTTCGCATTTAGAAACATTGAATTTAAAGTCGTTCTCCATAGACCACTGATACGCTATGTTAAGTGTTTCGTGCAATGAGTTCGGGTCTACTGATGAGCTTCCGAAAGAGAAGTTTGCTTTAAATAGACTGTCACGAAAAGCTTTACCAACGAGTGACAAGTGTTCTGAACAGAACAGAACGTCTAAACGTTTCGACGGAGATGTGCAGTTTGAGAATCTTTCATACGAGCTAAAAGAACCACAGCATTCTGCGCGATGGAATCGTGAAGTTGGCTAAAGACGAGACTTGTAGGTCTAGTTCATTATTCTCATGTAACCAAAATATATCAGCATAGGATTTTTTCAATGAAAGAACTGGGTCGGGATGAGTCGATTTAGCTCGTGAAGCACGACAAAGGTTCCAGAGTTAACAATCACGGTAAAGGAGATTGTGTGGAAAAGATCCAAAGGATACTGATAGATCATACTTGTTTTCCGGTTGATCCGAAAGCAAAAGACAAAACTGAAAGTTTAGAAAATATCTTCTATGCGGTTTTGAAGCGATTTTGGTATGGGTGATACAAACTATTCCACTAAATTGAGATCTCGAGGATCACACAGCAAGAATGCATGGATTGTTGAAGTTGCACAAACAGGGAATCTCAATACGATCAATACAATCGTTACCAGAGACGTAAATTATCGGTACGGTTTCCTCATCCCACTTGATATCATGTAATTGTTCAAGAAAAATGCCCCAGTCGAGGAATTAGTGGAAAAAAATATGTGAATATGTCAGCGTGATTGACTTGACAGAACACCTGAAGTTGTTTGTGTTCACGACGTGTAGCTCATCTTCAACGGGAATATCTAAGAAACAAGTAGATGATGTAGCTATGGGAAGCTGGTCGGGGCAAATTTTGGCTGCTATCTTCTTTTCCAATAGTTTGATGATGTTGACAGGCATAGAAACAGATGCGAAGACATTATTCCACAATTTGAACTGCTTAAATCCCAATATGAAACCGACATTACAATGTGGAGTAAGGTCCAAAACTTCCATTTATTGACCTACTACTCAATCCATTGTTAGATGAAAAGTTTCCGATTTCTATGTATCACAAGCCAACTTCGATAGAACAGTACCTGCACTATGGGAGTTTCTGTTCTGTGGGGGAAACATACGTGGTTCGGTGAATAGCCCGCACTTCTCGTCGGATGACTTAGACCGATTGCATACTGACTAGCCGCCTACGTTTAACCCCAAGTACAGCAATGCAGTCAACCCCAGACCTAGCTCTTTAGCCGCTAAGACCATGGACATCTGCATGAGTCCTGAGCTTCAAAGGAAATGAAGAAACGACCCAAATACCTTGTTATTTAACGTACACCTTGATAAAAAGTATAATGCCCCCAGACCAGTATGGTTCTATGGGACATTTCGTTATGTCACCAGCGTTACTTTAGATCGAGAAAAAGTTAGTACGACTTTCAGTTGTATCTATTAATTTCAAACATATATTTGAAGGACTTAACGTCGCGTGGGAACCAGAATGTGTGAACATGTCCCGAAACACCTTGGTAATTTCGGGGAGGGGTAAATACCATCAAATGTGTAACTGCATTGCATTGGCTCGACTGCGGTCATCAGGTCGCTTCGCTTACAACGTTTCGAGTCTTTAAGAGACCTCAAAGATGAAGCACTGTGCGACTGAAAAAGACGATAATTAGTCATGGCATAAAATCGTAATTACACGTTGAAAACACATTTGTGGTGTAAATATTGCTGCCGCGGTAGTGGTTACGTCATAACAGTTGCTGCCATACGACGTTGTGGCCTGTTTTCCTTCATTCCCATCCACCATCGCTCGCATTTATAATCTTGTTTTAATCACTCTACATTCATAAAGCATTGTCAAATTTTGTCATCTCACTTGACCTCTGTAATGATTGCCCGCCACACCTAGTCGTGTTTCTCTCTGCTTCCATATGTCATCACTCAATTACAAATTGACGAAGCAGAGAAGTCTAAGGGCAACAACTCACCCGTGACGTAACCCCCCCCCGGTGATCTTGACCCCTGCCTGACCCATATGATCCCAATATGACCCTTTAACTTCCGGTTATTCACCTGTGAACCCGTGTGATATACGCTTCCGTCCATACTTCACCTTCTGCCTGTTCCTGATCTGAGTGTATGTTTGACTGGTCAAGACACTGGTGGATTGTAGCTACTAAATAATTCAGGTCCTCCTTTTTCAGGCTGACAACTCGTGGTCATCATAACAACTTCTGCGGTTATTAATCCTCTTATAGCAACGAAACCCTATTAGCACAACTCACATCGGTTACCTTGTTTCAGTGACTCATTTCAACTTTTATGTTTCCTTGTTTGGCATGCTTGTACAAGTGCGCGCTTATAATTGAATAAAAACACACAAAATTGATGGCCATTAGCAATTCTCTGACAGTCGGATCAGTCTGACCTGTTGCTTTCGAAAGCTTCAGAATGGTCGGAGGTGGGTATCTTGTGTTGCGGTTGGTCAACTTTCCATCGTGAGATGATCCTATACTACCAAGTGTATCAAATAGACTCTCCTGAGTAAGCCCTACTCACTGCCTTCCCGTGGCGGAAGTGTTTTCCAACCAAAGTGAGAGGACTAGAAGCCAACATTCGGACTATAACCGGGTTGATAAAGCACAGATAGTTCACCTTGAAGGGTTGGCTAAAATCCCTGAATCCAAACTAACCAAGAGGAGGTATACGAACCACGTACACACCTTCTTGGTTGTGTCAGCTCAATCGGGTATCAAGGTGTATTGAGCACCTTGGTCGTTGGTCTTCATGGAAAGGGTGAACTGGTGAACTGGACACCAGCCCCAATTGATTGCCGTTTTCACACACCGCCCCGCTGCCTTGCGGGTCAGGCTTGGGCTAGCCGAAGGCCCCGATTGCGAAATCCTCGAGAAAATTCACCTGCCTGGGCAACTTAGCGATATGGCGCCCATAACCAAATCAAGGAACTTTTTTTCTTTTTGATAAAGACTATTGCACCGTGATCTGTTTGACATAGCCTGGCCTTGGAAGTGATATATATATGTATATATATGTCAGCGCAAAATAAGAAATCTCGAACCTTTCTTTGTATGCCAATCAATTTTTCAGTACACTTGATTGTATATGAACAAGGTATGGATTTGAATTACTTAGTTGGCCGCAAAAAAATTATTCCCATCACTTCTGTTCCCACTGAGACTCTGCATACTGCACTCATTCATTCTTTGGTTGAGTTCTTCCCTAGCTACTTGACCCTTCTCACTTATCCCATTCTTCTTTCTTCCTTTGAATGATTTTCATCAGGTGAAATATACAGATATTTGCGCTCTCTTTAGGTATCAGTTGTGGTCGGTCTAGACAAATTTTGTGATCGAAACGTTACAAAAACACTTTAAAACTTAGTGTACGCCTCCATTCTCTCTGGATATATATATTCCTTCACGTCTTTGAAGGCACAACACTGGTACCAATTTTAAAACTTTTCACACTGATTGCTCGCTTTTCTATCAGTTTCACATCGATGGCGGGATCGAATCTACAGCTTGCAACTATCAGTCATCATCCACCATGACAGTAATTATCAGTTTACATGCAAGATAGCCCACTCTACATTGCTTTTGTTCATCACATCTTCTATCCCTTCTACTACTCATCCATCAATACTTGCCTTTCAAACATACACGCATTACAGAATAGGTGATGCTCTCAATTGCACCGTATGTTTGGAACAAATCATGGGTGGCTGTAAAAGCTTGTTGAAGGAATACTCAAATCAGCGAGTTGCTGTTACAAAAGAGAAACTGTCTGTTCTGTTTATGGAGGGCGGGGCACGAAGTGGCTTGCCTCGAACTAACACAAAGCAAAGACTTTACGGTGCACTGTTGTTGCACTGAGGCGAGTAATACAAAGTCTGTGGCGTTTGAACGACTCAGTGGTTTTTCTATACTATTGCCATGCCTATGTCCATATCGTTTCTGAAACAATTTCAAGTAATTACTTGAAAACAGCTGATCGACTCTCTGTCTTTTCTCGACAGCTACATTGACCCACAGTTCTCCTTCCGTTCTCGTGAACACTTTTTCGCATCACCCAACCAACCTAAGACGACTGCCTACGATCGCAGGGGATCCTGACCCGAATCACGATCAGTTATGTCTGAAGTTAGCTGCATTTGATCGACTGTTCCGTCATACTTGGACAATTCTGTGGTACTGCAAGTTATTTCTATCCGGTTCCTAGCACCTCTATCTTTTTGTCTTTTGTCGATGATCTATTTTAGTCTTGCAAACACAACCCACACTCGGACTCGGATCTCCACCCCTTCCCTCTTGGTATTTTGGATTATCACCAACATCATGAGTACGAGTATATATTTTCAAAACCATATGAAGAAGCGCTGTGAAAATTCTTTTATTTTCGCGCTATCACTTCAAGTTTTAGAGGTTNTGAGATGTTTTTATTCGGATGGCATCTAGCTTGAGCATCTGTTCCGCTGCAATCCGAGCTGAAGAGGTATTGCCAAGTTGCGTCATCATCTCCTCGTTGTGTTTTATCTGTTTTAATTCATTCCATCTACACATGTCGATTTGATTATTAAGCTCTTTATCCTGCAAAGGCATGGGGAATGAGGTGTGGGGAGAGGAATGAAAAGAATAATAATCAATTTCAGTATTTTGAATGGTTTCGGGGAGATAGAGGCGAACAATAATTGCAGGCCATATCTGTGAATTTGAATTTCTCGTGATGGACCAGATTGAACGACAAGAGCATTTGCGTTGCATCACTTGAGTTGATAAACAGTTTTTAATATTTTCACGGATTTTCTTGTGAAATAATACCGATCGATAATTGCCTCAAATAACAGTGATGATTGTAGAGATAATAAAAACGCCTCAAGGGCACTTTCACATGTAGACCAAGTCATACGTCATAGTTGTGACTCCCGCCGTCAAGATCGGACTCAGGGAGCAATCAGTCAGTCAGATCAAGGGGTCTGCATGATTCTGCTGTAATACTTCTGTGACAAGAGACTTGTGGTCGATCGGAAAATTGTATTGTACTCATTTATCAACGATAAAATCTAATGACTCAAGAATAGTATATTCACATGTGTATATTCAGAATGAGAAACGGTTTGATCAGCTGCCCGGTGGCCGAGTGGGTAATTTGCTTGCGTTCTACCTGTGAGGTCCCGGGCTCGATCCACTGATAGGTTGATGTATTCGCACTGCTGATGGGACCCAACCAGGCCGAAATACCCATTCAGTCCTTCTTAGCATTCCATGACACCTCTCATTTACACAAATTCTTCATATATTCAAATCAAATCCTCTATTCCTCTCATACAAAAATCCAACAACTCAAAAAAATACAGTATGAAGAACAGCACATTGTAATTTTCTCTACAGAATAAAAAATCAAAGAGAGGTCAAGTCAGGTCAGGTCAGACCAAGTCACGTTATTGGGACGAAGAAAACAGGACCACGTCTCAAATGTGTCCAGATTCGTGCACTAACAAGGTGTGGGATCTTCTCTAGTGTTACGAGATGAATTACTGCATCACATTTAATTCCACCGTCACGATAGCTTTGGTTATGTTTATGGCATTCATCTCAGCAACACTGATAGGTTTCATAGCTTACCTAAACGTCTCAATGGGTTATTTACTGCGATGCAGGAAAAAGCACTCAGCTGTGTTCGATCACTCAGAACTACAACTTCTGCGACCACTCTCGGACCGATAGTTGTCACGCTTCCTCCTTGTGGTCGATGATCGTGTGTTTGTCGCGCGGTGTGCTAACCAAATGAACGTGCGAACGTCGGAACTACATGGGATGATAATCTGGTAAATGCTTTGAACTGGCGGCGGGCGAAGCTCGAATACTGCTGCACAGTAGAACTGTGGGCGGAACTATGAAGAGTGTGAAAGCGGTGGTTTGAAAATGAAATTCCCTGGTTTAGCCGTAAGAACTGCAATTCATGATAGGGAACACATAAAGATAGAATGAAACAGTGACTATTCCTGACGGGCAAACAAACACAATTGTAGTAGTGTACTGAAAAAACGGACGCTCGAAATTCCCCTAGTCAATACAGTGGGCGTAAACGTTCTGTACGCGATTGCATGATGTATAGGTCGAGGGATTCACCGCAACGCATCACAATAGGTTTAAAGAATGAGGATGAATAAAGTGTAAAATGAGTGAATGAACAGGGCTTTTGGGGAATCTTTTAAGGAAGAGAATAAAGTGGAGGGTATATTTAGGATAGCAATGCACAGAATCCAAGTTACGGTGATGATCGCGAAAGCTAATGATAGCAGTCGGTTAGAGCGCGAGAAATGATGAACTGTATGGTGGGCAAATGCATGAATCAGTTGTTTTTGGAAACCGGCAGTCCTAGCCCTAGGATCGAGAGTGGCGAAGAGTATAGGGTCCGAATAAGAAAGCCCCCCGGTGATGCGCCGGACAGCAGTGAAGCTGCCAACCGCATGTTTTGAATAGAGCGCCTTCGTTAATTTCATGTTTTGGTTGAGGTGTATCCCGGCTTCGGAAATATTTCTTCACGTAATTTGGTGTAAAATGTTTCAGTGTGTGGTGAGATGATGCAAAAGTGGAACTCCAGCGTATTATTGGGATTAACCTTATTATAAAATTCATCAAAATAATTCTTCTCATCTCCGACATCTTGATTTATGTTCCACCTTGTGAACCTACATTGGAGACGAGCACGAGCAGACCACCTTGGTGTGTATCCCACTTGTTTTCATTGGTTCCTGTTGTCAGGTCAGGACACAGTCATAAACCGCCTGACCATTCAACTGGTCAGAGGAACATGCCACATAGCTTTATTTGTCGTTTCTGTTTTTACACGCCCTTTTGGTTATTCGGAGACCTCTGTCCACGGTCATTACTCCTGGTAAATATATTTGCATTGAACGCTCAGGCGAGGTCCGGAGTGACATACGAATGGTCTTGGTGATATAATTCTTCGATGGCATGTTGAGAATAGCTTTGGTGATGCGTGAGTTTGTTTTCTAAGTGTTTGATGAAGGTATTTCTTGTGAGTAATGGAGGATTTAATTAAATTGCAAATGGGAATTCGTGGTGTATATAGCAAATGAAGCACAAAGTGAAAAGATAGGGAGCATTGGACAACTGTTTCGATATGGTTGCGTCTCACCAGCAGTGCAAGTCCATCGATCCAACTGGGGATCAAACCCCTGACCTCACAGATAGAACGCAAGTATACTACTCAGCTCACACCCGATTTACACGACGAATACTTCCCAGATCTAATAGCAGGTTTGGCTACAAAATTATTGATTTTTCACAATTCTCAAAACGAACGTAGACATCTAATATTGCTTGCCACTTGAACACGAGTTCGTGAAATCACAGTTTTGCACCGCGTCAAATTTACTCCGATAATAGTTTCATTTAGTTAAAAGTGCATAAAATACTAATTCTTGTCTGGTATATTTACAATAACAATACCAAATAAATCACATATTTTGAGTGCTATTTACAAAATATCAGATCATCAATGTATAAAATAAGCAAATTGGCCTCATCAACATCAAACAAGAGTATTCTGACTTGTGGTAGTCTCTAATCAACTTCACCCAAAAAGCACTTACTATGCCCAGTCCAATACGGGTTCGATCCCCATCTGTGATACTGACCCCGGGCATTGGTTCCATGAGATCAATCACGCTGAACACACCCGAAGCCATGGCCTTCACTTGTTGTTTCCTTTTTAACAGTTGAATATCCGGTACCGTGGGCACAATCGTTTTCTTCTGTTGAATATCCGAACCGAACTATTGTTTGTATGAAAGTTTCATGGTAATTACCAAAAAGTAGCGTAGAATAGTCTAATTATATCTGAAACTGGCAAATTCTTCGGTTAGTTGAATTCCGTATAAACAGTGATACTCAATGGATATATCTTGCACATCGATCTACATTAATGGATACCAAACGCTCCTCATTAGAATGAGTGAGAAGAACAACAGAAATAGAGCAAACAACCAAAAGTAGTAGTCATTATTGTTATATAATTTTATCATTTTAAACCGATGCAGCACTGGATTCCGATTGTCTCTGGGACACTTAAAGATGGTGCTTAACCGGTGTTCTCAAGTTCACATTACTTCTGGGTCTGGTGCTGGGCAGTAAACAAGTTCTAGATGAATGACGTGATTCGTTTACCACACTAACTTTTAAGAAACGGGCTGAGGATCCTCCAGTGAGAACCACAGAGCAATTGGATTTTCTAAGGTCACCTCAAAGCTAATCGCTGCTGCCACGCACCGTCGATTGCCTGATGCATAAGTGAGCATCAAGCTGGTTTTGGTCCGGTTTGAAAACGCATCGACCATATTTTACTATTAGCCGCAATCTTCGACGTAGGCAGACAGGCATCCTCTAGGTTGCTCTATGGTTCTTCTGATCTGAAAGTGACCCTCGACCCCGTCGGTCACACAAGACATGGGTGCTGTCTCTTCCTGGAGGTTGTGCTCTGGAAATTTATTTCTTCATTGAGGTTCCTATGTAAGGACAAGCGACTACACGTAAGAACCGACATCTCTTTTCCGCCAGAGTCCCCATGGAAGGCAGTATTCTTTTCGGTTGTTCTCGCTCTCTCCTTTTATATTAACCTTTGCATTGTATATGATTCTGAAAGCAGCTCTGTCCCGGTGACAGAATAGCTGCATAGATATACTCCCCATGTAGCAATTTATCAGCTCTCGAGAACGCGGATGACAATGTACGGTTGAGTACAAACCTCGGTAATTTGTAATTTGTTGCTTGAATGATTTGGCATGCATTTGACATTTGAACAGTGTAATCTGTTATCATAGGATTTGGCAGATTAACCTCATTCTAAGTTCTGTGAAGAGTCCCATTTTTACATTTGAGGAAAAACGCAAACAAGCTCGTATTCGATAATTTCCTGTTCGGGCTAATATAGTTAAATAAATAGGTAATAGGCATATCACTTTTGCACAAAGTTTGATATGAATGCGGATTTGATTGGTAGATATAATTAGTTGATTGTGTGGTTTGCAAACAAACATGAATGTTGGGTGGATGGGAATGGGGACGAGGTGTATCAGGGTTAGGACCCAGTCAAGGGTAACCATCAGCTGTTAGGGTCACGGGGTTAATCGAAAGGGTCATGAGATTATGAACAGGGACATCTACAGTCCTGGTACTGAATTCAGTCGGGGGCTAAAGCGGTTGGAATGTTGTAATAAATCGCTTTTTGGAACAAGGTGGTCGATTGAACAGATGGATGGCTATTGCCTCAGTTGTTACTAATTGTTGTTGACGAACAGCCTTTGATGGATAACGAGGCACCCGATAGCTTGCAAAGTGGATGTAGTGCCCGGTCCATGTTGGCTTGCGATATACACTTCTGTTTCGATAACCGTCACTACGTCGCGTGAGATTCAGATCGAGAAAGTGGAAAGTATCCCCTGATTCTGCTTCTGATGTGAAATTAATGGCTGCGTGCGCCTCAATGAATTTGTTCAATAAAATTTCCAAAGAGGTTTTCTCATTTTTCAAGGGGAAGATATTCATATAGCGACAATAAAGAGGTAGAATATTTACAGTTATTCGGAGTTCATGGTTCTCAGTTTAGCCATAAATAAATTAATTGTCAGGGGTCCAAGTGGAGAACCCAGTCAGTCTTATTATTTAAAGTAAACTGAACGTTAGACGGGCGAACGAGTAACAATTCCTCAGAGTCAGTCAGCGGAATACCAATGGTGTTGTTGTTTTTCACCATGTGATCGCACAGGTGTGAAACCGTCTCAAAAACTGGCACATTAATAAATAACAAAGTGACGTACTGAAGAAGCCATCGTCAGTCTATTTATGTTCTTCTCTTTCATCAACTCAATGAACTGGAACGTGTTTTTCAGACGGAGACGTAAAATGCGTCTACGGACCGGTTCCAGTGTCTCCGTAAGCCATTTGGCAACTGGGTGACATGGAGAGGCACTGAGGTCAAGTAGTGGTCTCAAGAGTATACCTGATTTATGTACTTAAGGAAAACTGTATAAATGCGGAATAGAGATTTCCGTAGGTCGTGGTTGCTCGCAAGTAGCTGTGGTGATAAAATTGTTATCTTTCAATATTTTCAAACCGTTAGCTGTTCCTCCACTATGTTAGTCCTATCCTCCTCCTTGGTACTTGGGTGAATTTGATTGGATCCCGTAAAATTCCAGTCATCTTATCGATGTAATAATTACGGTCCAGCAGGACTACCCCTGAGCCTATGTCTAGTTTAGCAATAATAATATCTTTGTTCTTTCTTGGGTTCTTGACTGCTTTTCAGCAGACCTCTTTGTGGTTTCTCAATACGCCGACACTGGTAAGAGCACTCCACGTGCGAAAAGTTATGCAAATGTGAAATGCCAATTATATGTTTCTATAACGATATGAGTTAGAGGAGGAAGTGGTCGAAAACGAGCTTGCTCATTTGGAAAAAAACAATGGAGAAAGAAGACAGCCTTAGCAAACTAAATTCCTCTCGGCGAACGAATCGGTGATGAAGTTTCTGCCAACATGTGATACCTTCACAGTGACACCGCTCAGTTCAGCTGTCTGTAAACGACAGTGTGTGCTGCAGCTGCTATCTGTTCAGTGGTCCTGTATAGTACAAATAAATGACTGCTGAGGTACCACAATACCAACATACTATCGGTGTTCTTTCTCTTTGTTTTTCATAAGTTTTATTCTTCAATGAAAAAAATGAAACCCTCACAAGAAGACAAATATGCAGACCCTGTGAATCTGTAAATCCATTGGGAATTAACGAAACCATATTTGGATTTGCATTCAACTCACAGTTACTTGTGAGTAGTATTGTGGGATAATTGATACTGATTTAAGGTGACCATCCTTCGGACTTTACTTTCACTCATATTCCTCAGCTCATCCAGTTAACCAAATACTAGGAATTCGGAAGAATGATCGGTTCAAATTACTATCAAAAGAAAAGACAGTATCACAATACTGCCCTATATAAACATGGTGTTCTCTGCAGTATGCGCCATGTTGAGATGTATAAATCGAGCAGTATTGCTATACGGTCTTTTCATTTAAAACTAATCTCTGGAATTGCTTGCTTCTGTTTTCTCAAAATTAATATCAATCATCCCACATCACTATCCACGAGTAACTGTGAGTTAAATGCGAATTATCAATCCAGCCTAGCAGGTTTAAGGCCAGCCAGTCATTAACTCTCATAGAAGACCTGATTTGATGAGAGGCTCTCAATTGGAGTTAACAGATAGTTAACTGTGTGGGCCTTCGGTGCTGTCGGGCCAAAAGTGAACTGATTGACCATCACTCAGGACAACAACTTGACGAAAATGTATTGGCGATTCGGTTCAGCCCTGGCATGAGATGGTTGGTACAGAGTCATCACGTCCTCCATGCGATGGATCCAGAGTTCGAAGCCCAGACGGGGCGGTGGATATGCACTACCGATATTACGACTAATAAGAGCACAACTCAAGTCTAGTGCTTCCCAGCGTATGGGTGAGTGGATGAACTGAGGATTGTGCATGGAGGTGCAGTCTGAAGGATAGTCAGTTCAAATCCATATTTGGACTACTCATCAGTAGTCTGTCCAAATCATTTGTCATTTAATAAAACTTACAAACAAGCGGCTA